TTTCTGATCATTCTTCTCACATCAGCAGCATAGCCTGACCAGTAGAACTCATGTCTTAGAACTTCTGCCATTTGCTCTCACCCAGGATGGCTGATAAGAGGTGAGTCATGAGCCTCATGCACTAATCTGATTTGAAGAGGTTTGAAGTGTGACACTCACTTACAATCTCAAAAGAGAAGCTCTCTGTTCTCATTTAAAGAGCACTCAAAGATGAAGGCCTTAATGCTGAGTTCAGAAGGAAATCTGAATCTTCTCTTATGAAGAATTTGCTTCAGATGCTGCAGAATCTTATCATTTTTGTGAGCCTCATATCACTAAGCTTGAAGAGACATCTCAGGTTCCACACTGGCAGCAGCCACTATTGATTTCATTCCAGGTGCCAGTACATTAAACTTAAGTAGTTGAGCTTGTCTCTGCTTGATTCTCTCATCATCAGCATCCTGTGACATGTTCTACTCTCTTCATGATAGGGTGTCTGATCCAGCATTCAACTTCTCTGACTGGTAATCAATTCTAAAGTTGAATCAATAGAGAATATCCATTCAATGTAGCTGTTTTTCATTTAGTCTATGTGTAGTCATGAAGTATTCTAAATTCTTATGATCTGTGAGAATCTTGAATTTCTTTACATTTCATAGCTCAGCATTTCATTTCTTTAAACACTCAATTATTGCTAATAACTCCTTATCATGAATCTCATAGTTGCATTCCGCAGGTGAATGCTTGTGAGAGAAGAAGGCACATGAGTGTAGAATGCTCTGCTCATCATATTGTAGTAGCACTCCTTCTGAGATATAATCTAAGAAGTTCATTTCTAATATTATCTCACAATCAGAGTCAAATTGAAGCAGAATTAGAGCAGAGATAAACATTGATTTTAGACACTTAAAAGCTTTCTCAGCCTTGCTCATTCACAAAAAAGAAATATTCTTGTGTGTAAGAATTGTCAGTGAAGTTGCAATCTTTGAGAAATTTCTGATAAATTATCTATAGAAATTGGCAAAGTCTAAAAATCCTCATACATTTTTAAGAGTAGTAGGTATTACTCATTTCAAAACAGCTTTAATCTTCTCTGAATCCATTTGTATACCCTTGCTCACTTCAATGATGAATTCAAGATATTTTGTGCTGTTCACCTTGAACTCACTCTTTCTGATGTCTGCCTACAGACCTGCTTCCTGTAGACACATAAGCATCTTTTGTACATGCTCACAATGCTGTTGTAAGCTTCTTGAGGAAAATATCAAGATGTCATCTAAATAGACTGAGCAGAAGTCATCCAGATATTCATATAATGCTCAGTTGATATATTTTTAAAATATGCTCAGAGTATTGGTCAAATCAAAGAGTGTAATCAGTCACTTAAATAGTCTGTATCTGGTTCTAAAGGCTATCATCCACTCATCATCTTTTATGATTTGAATCTTATAAAAAGCTGCAATAATGTTCAGCTTAGTGAATCATTTAGCCTGTCCAATTCACTGTAGAGTCTCACTGATTAATGATAGAGGATATCAATCCTTTCAGATGATTTTGTTAAGAGCTTGATAGTCCATACAGAATCTTAGCTCACCCTTAGACTTCTTCACAAATAGTACAGAGGTAGCTGCAGGGGAGTTGCTCATTCTAATAAAACTCTTATCTATATAATCTGTAAGAGTCTTTCACAAAGTCAGTAGTTCCTCTTGAGATATATTATATAATAGGCTTCAAGGGGGTTGTTTCATACTACCATCAGCCTTTTTAATCAGTTCAATCCCATGATCTCTACCTGGGCCATGAAGTGGGGGTAGAGTGTTGATGGCTTTCTTATCAAATACATTCAAAAACTCATAATAATGTTCAGACAGCTTTTCTCTAGAGTCAATCTTTGATTTCACTTCTAGAGTCTTTTGAATGTCAGTCAAACTGACAGTGAAGATCTCAATGTTTCACTTCTCTCAAGTGCTTACAAGCCTAAAGAAGTTTATGGTAGAGATGGGAATCACATCAGCTTTTGCATTTGAACTAGGCTCTATTTCTATACCACTCTCTTCAAATCTTACAATTCTTTGATGAGGGATCATAGTCACCTTTTGCTGGGCCAGCCAGGGGTTGTCTAGATACATATCATGATTATATAACTCATTCACTATGTAAAGAAAGATCCATTCAGTTATATAATCATCTATATCAATTTGAATACCAGTTATTATGCTCATGGAGAGTCCTATGGAGTCTTCAAAGCTGGTCATTTTAACAGGAGAAATTTCAATGCACAGGAGCTTATGCTTGTTAACATAGGATTGAGAAATAAGATCATAGATATTACATTTATTGTCTATCATTGCTCTAGTCAAAAAGGCATTATCTACTAGAGCATCAACAGTGAAGGGTTTGAATATCATCTTAGATTTAAATCTTCTCTATTGCTTTTTCATAAGCTTCTTATTTTACTTCTTTCAGTATCTTTTGATTAGAGCTACTCTTTTCTCAAATCCTTACTCATATTCACATCATCATCATCTAGTACCAGCTCAGAGATCATCTTAGCTATCATGGGGGTGGTAGGGCATCTGAGAGGTTTGAATGAGCAGCTCTTAATCATATAATCTCCAGCTCTGCATCTCAGGCACAGGCCTTGCTCTCTTCATTAATTAACCTCTGTCTGATTTATTAATTTGATGTGGTGAGTGCTTAGGGTCATAGTACTAGGAGAGAGATTCATCAGATCATCAGTGGAAGCTTGAGACTGGTTTCATCAGTCAAGAACAGCATGATGAAGTAGAGAGTGTGGATTAGATGTTGTATGATCTGAAGAAGATCTGCTCTCATGATGTTTAGATTACTGTCTTAAAGTCTTAAGCTCAGAGAGTTGATAATCAACTAATCTAAGCTCTTTGCAGTAATTCTTATAAAGAGATGATTCTCTTACATCCATCATGTCTTCTCTCAGCTCCATACTTAGAGCAGATTTTAAATACTTCTTTTTAATGTGATCATCTCATTTGTGATCATCAGCTTCCAGCAGTAGCTGATTAAATTTGAGCAGAAAGTCAAAAAGAGCTCTTCTACTCTGTCATAAATTGTTGAGCTTTTGCATAGTCTTTTTCTGTCATGCAGAATCACTAAAGAGCATGTGTGTTTGCTTCAGTAAGCTCTCTACTGTGAAGTTGATCTTGTTCTTATTATTCTCAACTCAGAGGTAAACTTGAGCTGCTGCCATTTCTTCCAGTCTTAAGTACACATATCAAGCACATTTCTCATTATTATCTAAAGCTTTCCCATCAACTTTAAGTTTTGATTAAAGCTTTAGCTCTCACTAAGAATAGTGCTTCAGATTAGAATCATCATACTTCTCACAGTCTGATAGCTTGGTCTTTGATCTTCTGACTACAATAAGTGATTGCAGGTTCAATTGAGAGAGAATTGATGTTGAAGTGTTCAAAGCTTGTTGTAGATTAGCTATTTCAGCTTGCTGAGCTGCTATTAAATCTCTGTTCTCATGCTGAACCTGTTCCTGCTGTTGAAGAAAGATCATCCATTGTTGTTTGAAGCTGCTGAGGATGTCTTTGCTCATTGCTTTGTGTTGATTCATTTGTTGTACAAGTCTACTGCTTTATCTCATTCAGCTAGACATTTTCAATGTTGCTTGTTCATTTGTTAGCACAATTGCTAACTCAGTCTATTCATATATCAATGCTATCACTGAACTTTGTGATGCAGGATTTAAGGCTTTCAATAGTCTATCATATGTCAGCACATTTGCTGAGCTTTGTGATACAGAATTAAGACTCCCAGTGACCTATCAATGAAAGAAGTGAAGCAATTCATAATGTAGAGGATTAAGCTCTAAGAACTAGAGGCTAGTCCTCCTATATAACAAGGACGAATTGCTTGGGAAAGAGAAGAAAAGAATGAGATGAGAACATAAGCTTAAGCAAGCTCACGTAGCATGATCACGTGCGCACGTGCAAATGATGGCTAGGCTGAGTCAGCCAGCCAGAGTGAATCTAGGGGTTCAGCCCCTTATACTTGTATCTTTAGGTAAAAATTGGACTGAGAGTATCTATCATGATCTATTTATACTAGGACTAAGAAACTGGCAACAGGAATTTGTTAGAATGAAGTTGAATAGTTTCTATATTATTAAGTAGGATTCTATTCAGAATCTGAACCTTGATGAATTAATGAATTAGTTGACTACTCATATCACTACTACTATGACTTATCCCAACTCATTTGCTATGAATATCATCATTGAATGATTTAATGAACATCAATACCACTACTGTGAGAATATAAAGCATATTATCAAACACTGCTAGTTTAAGAATCTGAATCTCACAAGTACTGAATGACAGAAACATAATAAAAAGTGCATTGAAGCATTGAAAAATAGAGATAGAAATAAGACTAAAAATAGAAATAAGAGCAAAAATAGAAATACAAAGAATCTACTTATAAGTCAATCAATTCAAGTATTTTTTGCAATAATTTCTTCAAATATTGAAGAACTTTTGAAAAGCTAGCCAGATTATGGGTGAAATAAGAATAGGATTTGATGGATACAGCAAGTGGAAGACAAGATAAATTGACAGAGAAGATGAATATGATTGATTTGAGCAGGACAGTAGCTAGTCTATATGGTATCTAGTCTGAGGAGAGGTGTTGGAGCCTAGGCTTCCTATTATGGACTAGTGCACTTCACAGTAGTATATAGCACCCCTGAGATAGGTTACCAATACAACCACTTCAGACGTCCAACAAAATTGAACTTTCTTCTCTGGAGGCTAATTGAGTTAAAGCTGGCCGGCTAACGCGTCTGCAGAAGCTTTTGGCTTAAGCGGCTAGGGCGCTAATAAGGTTGCCAGCTCGGTCTATCGGAGGAGATTCGACTAAAATGAGAAGTAAATAATTCATGCATATTTATCCTGGTTTTAGAAGGTTCTGCAGTAGTAAAGGCAACTTGCCCGTATTATTACTATTCAACTGCCAAAAGAAATTATACCATTATCATCATGCTATACCCGGTCACACGGCGCCTTCTCCCTCTTAGTTCACCGTCAAAATCATTGCTGTGTTTGAACCTACAACGATGTCCACAAAGTTTATGGACGGGAGCTGATATTATCGTTGCAAAGTCGACGACAACGACAACTACGTCAAGAAGACACCTCCACCAAACACCCGCCAACTATACATTTCGGCCTGTCTGGATTGAGCAGCGTTTTAAGATGCCATGGATTGAGGCATTACAGCTGCAAAGGGAGAAGGAGAGGTCGGGGGTAGAGAAGGCCGCGAGTGAGGGAACTTCGCCGCCAACGGTGGATTTGAAGCCGAGAAAGATGAGAGATAGTTATGTTAAAACAGTTAGTTTTTCTTTTCCTTGTTTTTTTTTTTTTTTTTTTTTTTTGGGGGGGGGGGGGGAAGGCGGGGGGAGAGGTAATTGCATGGAAGGACGAGATGGTGGAACGATATATCTAATACAACGTCTCTCTTTTCTCCTGCATTATACTAGATACTACCCCTAGCCCAGGACCCATGGCTATTAGATACCTATTTAAATTCCTCAGGACATATCCGGTGAGTTCTTTTTCCCTTCTCAGACACCGCAAAAAATAAGAAGAAAACCCACACCTCCAATATGAATACTTAGAACAAATATCTAACACAATCCCGTAGCTTGGGCTCCCTCCTGCTGGATCTGGACGCGCTGGCCGGCGTCGTCGCATATGGCTACACAGGTGATTCTGTAATGATTGTTACCGCCGCTGTAGACCGTATCACCATTGAGCACATGCTCAAGGAGATATGTGACCTGGAGCTCAGTGGGCAGGTCACGTATGCCACGGGCCGCTCGAGTATGGAGATTTCGCTTCAGGTTGCAAAGGCGCCTGCGGAGGGACAGGCGGTTAAGGAGGAGGATGTGTTGATCACGTGTGCATTTACGATGGTTTCATTAGATCCAACGACGAAGAAGTAGGTTGCCTTTCTTTCTCACGTGGTTATTATCTCTCTCTCTTCTCTACCAGACCGTTCCACTGTGTGTTTTTATAATAGAGAGTTGAGATTAGTCATGGGGTTTGATAATTGTTGGATTTTTGTAAGCTGACTCATTTTTCCGTCCTGTTGCGTTTGTGAGTGGTTAGGCCGGTAGCTGTTGCACCTCTCCTTGTGGAGACGGAGGAAGAGCGGAGGTTGTTTGAGCTTGGGGAGAAGAACTATCTGGCGAAGAAACAGCTGAGAAAAAGGAACTTACTTGAGCAGACACCAAATGATGAGGAGAGTGATCTCATTCATGCCATGTGGACGAAGGAGATGGCATATCAACGTAAGTACCAAACCTAAATCCCAGATAATGTCGTAAGGCCCAGGAAAGGGAACCCCAATGTCAATGGCCAAAAGAAGCCGGCATGTGTCTAGGAAATCACCATTTCAAAGAATATTTAATTCACTAACCCGTACAGACCCTCAAAACCCTGTCACCAGGCCCAAAAATCTCATGCGCATGGAAGACACCGTTCTTAAATCCGCACAGATCATGCAACCGCAATACCGCAACAGACACAATTTCATGATCTTTGGTGGTTTCCTCCTCCAGCAAACTTTTGAGCTTGCTTTCTGCTGTGCTGCAGCATTCTCCAATTCCAGACCGACTTTCCTCTCTCTTGACCCTAGCACCTTCGATAATCCCGTCCCTGTTGGCTCCGTCTTGTATCTTAAGGCGACCGTGTCGTATACTGATTCTCCCATCACCAGCACCAGCAGCGTCAACGGCAACAGCAGTACGCGAAGATTCACAAAAGTCCAAGTACGGGTTGACTCGAAAATGCGTGATATAGAGCACACAACCAAGAAGCCCACTGGCGTGTTCCATTACACATTCCTGGTCGAGAATGATGTTCAGGTTATGCCGCAGTCGTATACTGATTTTATGATCTGGGTTGATGCGAAGAGGAGGGCGCAGAACACCAATAAGAGTTTAGTATCAGGTATTATGGAGAAGGATTCACTTGCTGGGATTCGGGAGGGGTTAACGGAGTGAGCTTGGGGATGTAGATATAGGTTCTTTTTCCTGATATGGGGTGGGATGAGGATGGAATTGCTGTTTGATTTGCATCTTTTCTTTTTAAGGTTTGGATAGATTATTCGTGGTTGCATCTTCCCCCTATGCTTTGATTTATTCCAGAGCTTGTTTAGAATTGCTCTACGTATTGTTTATGCCAAACAGGAGCTGATTTCGGTTATCGAACTTGGACTCTTATAGCCCTTGAGGACTGGATAACAAATCATTCCACATTGAAATTTGTAAAATCGCGTTGAGATGTGGAAAGAGGGCAACCAAAAACAACAGGGGACAAGTGTAAAGTTGGCTACAGAGCTCCGACACATAGAGTATTGAGATACCCTTCAAATTTCAATGCCTTGCTGTGGTTAAACTTCGGAATTCTTGTTCTGGTTCTCGGCATTGCTATGGTTTTAATATCGGGATGTCACCTGATTTTGTGGTCCAAGCTCCTTTGGCCAATCAATCCACGTGAGCATCCAAGATCAATAAAGTGTTATGAGGATTTCTCTCTCTTCACCCTTAACAAATATCATCTGTCCAACCTCAGAGGAGATACCTCCTAACTGGAGCTATTATTTATGGCCCATCCGATTGATTCGTTGTAGTTCTTTCTATCTTTTTAGTGAATATTTTAAAGTCTCCAGTAATGTCTCTTCCCAACATTTGGCACCATCGCAAGGTGGCCGAGACATCATCCCGCTCTTGCGAAATCTGCTACAAACCATCCTCTAGCGTGTTGATTACTCCAGATAACAAGGCAAGTATAGAGCACACCAATGGTATTTATGTGTAAATATGAAAGATGTGGACACACTAACTTTTGATCTTTTGCTGTTGCGGATTGTTTTGGAAATTTGGGATTGTAGGACTTTTTTTACGTTTGCCCAATCCATCTAACAGACCGCGGATTTTGTTCGCCTATTGTAGATGAGGAGGAGGTTGCCGCAAAGAAAAAGAAAGAGGAACTAGACAAGGAGATTGAAAAGGTGAAGCAGGAATATGAGGAGAAAATGAATCGTAAAAAACTAAAAGAGAAGGAGAAAAAGGACGGCGTTGAAAAGGAGAATAAGAAGGCAGAAAAGGAGAAGGATGATAAAGTGAGTTATTTTACTGGCACAAGGGATTTGTCCCTTTTTACTTTCCTCTCTTGAGAGGGGATTGCGGAGCCCGATGATTTGGGGAAATACGTTCACATGTCCATGGAGTGAGTACTGAATGATGCAGATCAAATCTATTCAGAACAGCGGGGCTGAAACGCACATGGATGACACACCCCGCATTTTTGCCCTCCACAAGTACGTGTGTCTGTGCATATCGTTGCTGTTGTATATCTATTCAATATTTACTAACAGAACCCTGAAGGAACTTCTACCAAATGCGCATTGACCGGATTCGGAAAAAGGAAATTGCTAGACGGAACACGGAGCGCTTTAAAAATCCAGACCTGTTCCCATCAACTCCGAAAACAGATTTATGAAGGCGGTGGAAACTACCGCAACTTGGTTTCACGGAACGCTTTAAAAATCCAGACCTGTTCCCATCAACTCCGAAAACAGATTTATGAAAGCGGTGGAAACTGCCACAACTTGGTTTTTCACGAGCTTGGCTTCCCCCACCCACCACGACAATCGGGCGAAACAGCTGGAGACACGTTTATTAACATAAGGTATACGAACAAAAACATTCTGTAGGAACTAGTTAATGCCATGGCTAATGCATGGCATAGCATGGTGTGGCAGTCATCATGATCATCCCTTCGATTTGGAATTGGTCTGCCAACCATTTTGAGCATTTTCAGGCGACTCTGCTGCCGGTTTGTCATCAGTCGAAGACGAGTGGAAAAAGAGAAGGGCCTGCGACAAGGATCACGATGACACTCTGCAGAGGGTAATGAGAGCGCACACAAAGCCTACAGATGATTTTACTTCTTTAGGAAAGAGGGTAAACGTCATACCGAGGGCGCTAGTCCGGTCTTATCGCTTTACGCCGCTTAGAGCACCGCCTCCACTGGATGAATCTGGAACCATGGCGGTCTTTGCGCCGGATTTTGGTCGGGTACATTCCTCCCTCTCGCAGTTCTCAGGTTGAAGGTAAGCGCTAAAGCAAAAACGTGGTGCTTCTTCTCGGTTAAATTTCCCTCGTGGTCAGCATTGGGGTAGGGATGAGGACGATAGCTATTGAGTGACAATTCTTTTGCCATGGCTGTCATTACTGGTTTCTCATTATCCGAAACCTGACCATACCTTCAGCCTTACGACTGGGTTTTACACGTACATTGGCAGACGTTTGTACCAGGAAAAAAAAAAAAAAAAAAAAAAAACCTTCCTGCGCCAACAAGTTGATCTCACCTGTCATCGAAATATTATTACAGGGTTTTGGAGTGCGGTGTGGTTCTGTTTGGGAACGCAAATTGTTTTGTCAAATTTCAACAGGGAACATGCTGTCGAATGTGGATAGAACGTGTGTTGCCGTCGAATATTTGAATGAACATTAATATCAACGGAGTTACGTTATTTCCGTACGTTCTAACATGCGACGTTCGAATCGACCGAGAACGCGTTTTAACCAAAGACTGTAAACTACCCATAGGTATGCAAATCTTTGTCCGTCTTTGCCCGGAGCCATTGCCTTATTCTCTGTTCTCTTTGCAAACGCCTCGCGAATGCTCCATCGTTGGATGCTTAGTCAAGTGCTGTATCTTGCTGCATATCGTTTCCTCAACGGCTCTGTATTTAAGCCGTGGAGCACCTTTGGAAAGACCTACCCCCTATTAGGTCCTTCTGCTGAAATAGCAAGCCAGGGTGCCTTCCATTCCTTCACCATTAACTTATTTAGTTCTCGCGTGGCGTTGCAGTGGAAAATTAGTTGATCACTTGGGGAAGTATATATGTTACATATTTTACTTCCACTTCTATCATTTTCTCTCCACCTCGCTTGATACGTGATGAATTTTGTACTGATTCCCTTGACTCTCTATTCATTGTACGAAGAGGATGATGAAACGCGGTCTCCACTATTCTAAATGAGAACCTCAAAAAGAATGTCGATCCATAGTTTTTAAGAAGCGATCCTGGCGGGCATTTCTACATATTATCCGACCAGGTGTTTATGCTTCGATAACTACATGCGATGGATTTACACGTATTATTATGGTTCGAATGTTGCGGTGTGTACTTTACATGCGCCCTCTTTGCGGCTTTCTCCCATGATTTCTGGTTTTAAATTTCCCTGCGTATCGAGGCCGTCCGAGATATTCCTTGCAGACTACGAGAGTTGAACAAGAGTGTTTTTTCAGCTCAGCTATTTAGTTGCTCCAAGAAATTGGAGCCGAGTGTTGTCCGCCATCGCCTTTTGCCCTTGATGAATTTTTCGAGCATATTTGCGTCCCACTGCTTTTTAAGTCAGGGCACTAAGAACTATCAAATATCGTGCCTATTTCGACACAATGCCATGTATTGGTCGGGTTTCATAATTTCCACCGCCTCTAAAGCCTATTCAAGATCATTAACCGCCTTAACACAAAGATTCTGCACAGTTAAAATGTCTCTCATCGCTCAATTCTTCCATTATCTATCTACATATACAAACCATGAAAACCAGCCGACTACTTTTTAGAAGCGTACCTATAATTGTATTTTTATTTTCTCTCTTTCCCTTTTAAAAGGTTTAGTATTTGTTATAGTACTTTGTGAAGAGCTACTATCGCTGCTGTTCCCCGCCCCTTTTCCCCCTCACAGGTCTGTCCATCACTCGCCGTATTCGATACCAAGTAGGTCTAATATGCAGGGAATGATAGGTCTTCAGAGAGCAGTATACATCCAACAGCCTTGACAAGTGTTTCAGATTTTCTATATTCAGTTCAAAAATATCATGGATAGCTTGAATATTGAAAACTTTTGAACCATTGAGAATACGAATGTATCTGTTTTGTTGTCTGTAAGATCATGCACTCACCATAGTCATTTTACTGGTGCGATTAGCCAGGCAAGCGCTGTAATTCTCTGCCTCTGTGTCGGCGGATTTATGGAACATTATCTCCGAGTAAACGCTCAACTGCCTAAAGAAAGTCCCCGAGAGCAGGCTCTGCGCCAGCTGAGACATCGCCCCCATCTGTCGGCATCCAATCTTTTCCACCGTCTCACCCATCTCGCATATTGTAAGAGTTGAATGGACATTAAATTAAACCTGATTCTCTCTCCAAGTTCCCGTAAGGCTTGCATTAGTATTGAAAATGTCTAGTTGTAGACATTTTCTATGAATAAATGCCTTGTCTATAACATTCCAGGACAAATTTGTCTTACACGCCTGTCCAGGAAAGCTTATATTATTATGAATGATGCAGGGATATGTGGTTTGTTCTACGCAAACATTTAAGAATACCTCAGCCATGCTAGGAAACTGAACATGAAAATTTCGTTGAGAATCCGTAATTTATTGTAACTTGGAAGTGTTTCTTATGAAATCTTATGTAAAACAAAAACCGTGACTAGAATTTTCTTTGCTAATACAACTTGAATAGAATGCATGGAAATATTCTTAACGGGTTTCAATACCAAAGACACACGACTAATTGCGCGAGGACACAAAATTTGACGAAAAATGGATATGGCTTTATGGGTATCTAGGAAATGCGCCAGATAACGATAGGCAATAACTATTGCTATGATGAAAGTAACTGTTACCGAGACTTATGAACGTAAGAGTCAAAACCCAAGTATCAGTCACCACCTCTTCAGGAAGCCGACTGAAGAGAGAGATAGGCCTCAATGAACATAACTGATATCCCCAGCAATTATCGCCTGTTGAATGCAAGCTTTCAACTCCAATTACTAGAATACACAGCTGTGGATTGAAAACATGCAATCTCCAGGCACCTTAAGTGTCTTCATACCGCCCTGTAATTTTTTCTCATTCGCTTTTCTTGAGATTTAAAAAAACCTCAACTGCCCTCGCCATGTCAGCTGGCCTTCTTCGCGCCATAGCTTAGCAGCCGCCGCGTTGACAGACACCCATTGGGGTTTGAGATCTTCCCACTTTTCCCGAGTCCCCAACAGCCGGCGTTTCCATGGAATCAGCCTCGGCAAGGTACCAAAAAATGATTCTGTGTGGCCCCTAAATTCTTTCGCTGCTTGGACGGCTAGCGGCTCTTTGTGGGCCTGTGAGTCCTGATATTCTGTTGCAAGCGACACAAGAGTATGATGTGGCATTTGTAGCCAGACTCCTCAAACGTCTCGTGAACAGCGGCTCCTTCGAGACTCGCCAATATTTTTTCTACCCTTGGGGAGATGGTATTGTCTCCTGCAGCGGCAATGGAAGAGTAGAACTAGATCTCTGGAGGGGTCGATGGATATTGTTCCACAAGAGACGACAAACTCACCGGAAAAGTGGAGGGATGAGAAAACTTCAGACATAGCCAGCCTCCTTGTCACCCCGGGGGGAGCTGGTTGACGGCGATGTTTTATTTTCTCGAACTCCACATTAGCACAAATGATTATAAATTATCATTTGCGATTTCAGACATATAATAAATAGTGTTTTAAGGTGTCAAGTTCTCTTCTGTAGTGTTGGTCACGTTGGTCTTTAATTCTCATGTCAAGACCGGTGCCGACACCTTGGCGGTATTAATACGAGGGGCGTCTTGGGGTTGCCTTCACTGACTTTTGCGATCTATGATCGATCTAGATGTGGCCCGTGCGGGATCCAACCCAAGCTTGAAGCTTCGGGTGTTTATCGTTAGAGTTTTCCCTTTCCTTGGCAACTAAGGCTGGCACGACGAACGACTTGATGATTCAAGCCCTATAAGGCTAAAAGTTAAAAACAATACGCCAGTACTTCGGCTAATGAATGAAGATGGCTAGGTAAGGTTATTGTTCTTGTTATATCCTACAGTATTTAGCCGTTCGGCGTCTGTTTCCAATTCCGCCACGCTACGCATGTGGTCAACAAACTCAATCTTTTTTGAGGTTAAGCTGCGCCTTGTCCTATAGGACCTGTTGTTGAAATTTAATGCGACTTGCTTTGTTCACTTTAACTGCGTGTGATTGTACAGTGGTACCCTTTTGAAGTATGACTGGATCTTTGGGCGTAGAGTAATCGTTAGATGGATGGAACAGCGTGCAAAATATTATTAATTATCACCTTAGCTCCAAAATCCGAACAGCGTGGCTCTGATGATGTAGCCTTAACACTTGCGTGTGTATAAGAAACAATTTCCTTAATGATCGAGGTACTCAAGTCAAACTACAGGGCCGAAAAAAGACGTTGATGGCGGCATGCGGGTTCTCAGGTGTACATAGGCGTGTATGGACTCAACATGTTGCTTTTTTCCAGTGGTGCTTGCGAATATTGTGGGAGACTGGGTGAGCGTGTAACAATATATTCAAATCTGTATCAAGGTACCGGGAAGCAACCTCTATTTTAAATGAACTTGAAAACCCGGAAAAAAAGGGTTAATAAGAAGAAGAAGAAGAAGAAGAAGAAGAAGAAGAAGAAGAAGAAGAAGAAGAAGAAGAAGAAGAACCGCTGGAAGGCCGTGCTGCTATCTAGACATTGTCTCCAAACATCTGGTAGTTCAACTCGTACGTATATAGAACATGCATGACTGTAGGTCATGTCGTTACTTCCTCCTGAACCATCTCCTTCAGGATTAATTATCTCCGGAGGCTTTCTAGGGCAGTTGGTGAGAGCAGAGTTAGCAAACCCTGCATTTAGCTGGCTTTTCCTGTTGTAGTCGAAATATTTACATTGGATTCAATCTCAAAATGGTTAGCCAGGGAACGCTTTATGACAACGGGAACAAGGGTCACAATGACGCCGTTGCACATTTCCTTGTTTGTTGGTGTTAAGCTTTTAAACGGCAACAAGCAAGGAACTCATATGCATGGTATTTGGGTAGGGATAAACTTCGGTCTTTATCCTTGTATAGCCAGGAATAATGCACTCCAAATCCAGGGTTTTGGGTGGGATTCCGATATTAGTGCTTATGCTTTTAGCTTTACAGCCACTTTGGTTCGATACAAGTTAGAAAAAGTAAATGAATTTGTATGGTCGTAATTGGTATTTATCGTCATACATTCAAGGCCAGGGGGGCAAAATAGAAAGTGGTAAAAGAGAATCCTGTTTTGCAGTCTAGTATCGACTCTCCAATCAGTAATCATGGACAATAGCTGATGATATCAGGCATGTGCCGCAGTGCTTCCCTCTGGAGAGGTTGGAAAGAGAAAAGATATATTATTCCGTGGACCACTTTGGCAGTTGAAGTATGTCTGATGAAGTGCAGGGAAGTAGGAACACTTCCTTGGTTGTAAGTGAGTTTTAGGATTTATAAAAGACCTTTCTCCACAACAGAATCCTCTGCTCCTGATGCTTCTCCTTCAGCCACTCCCAAACTAGCAGGAAACCTTATACCAGCTGCGGTACCCATTGTTGCTCTTCTCACACTGCTGTCCACGACATCCACTCTCGCCCGCGCCAGGCCGATTGCAGGCACAACCCAGTTCCCGCAGCTACACTTCATGCCTTGCCATGCGAATTTGCCAATATTAGCGCTGCATGCTGAATTAGGGCACGTTAGACGTCCGGAGAGTGGCGCTTCGGGAGAATGGTTGTATTCATGTTGGCCAAATTCTGGGGAGGAAGAATCCTGTTCAGGGAAGAGAGAGGGTCGCATCCATGTTAATGGATGCAAAAATATATGCGCACACGGTCCATCAGGTGTAGAATGACCTCTCGGCAACTTCTTCTCATTTTCCGGGGTGTGAGGAATTATGAAAGGCATGGTGGCCAGCTTGCGTCTATGGGAATGGTTAGACATATTATTCTTTGCAGGTTTAGAAAAGAGCAGGCAGAAATAATGGAAATGCTGACCGGCATTTTCTGCACTTTATTTCAGTTAATTGATCGTCGGCTTCATTACTATTGCTATTTTCCGGCTGCTCATCCTCAAATCGAACAAGGTCGATTTCAGGAGCACGGCCACAAGCAACACTCTCTTCAACAGCACGTTCATATATCCATCGTTTATATAAGGGGTGGTCAGTGACGTTTTCTGGGCATCCCATTTTAAAATAGAGTTCCAGTTGCTCTGTGAACCCATCATTTGGCTCACACATTGGCCTTGATCTACGAATTAGTCCAAGAGCCTCTGAGGGAGTTATTGCACCTGGTTCTCGGTGAAGCAGAAATGCAATACAGACAGCTGCAGACCGAGACTTGCCCATTGCGCTGTAACAATGTGCAGGTTAGTCATGGTTAAGTTGCCTGGATGTCGAAATATCAAAGAACAACGCAAGATGAGAAACAGAGTTTGAAAATAACTTAAGCATACAAGACGGAGAATACTTAATCGTGAGATCCAGGTACCTTCTGGAGTTCAAGCAGTATAGCTAGGAGAGAGATAGGGCATCCAGGGTCTCCTTCATACATGTACGCCAACCTTTTGGAAAGAGATGAAAAGGGAATAATAAGCGTACCAATGCACTAGAACACCGCCCCCGCTCTCGAGGCCTGATTTGATAAAGGCATTTGTGGAAGGGAAATACCCCAATAGATCTTCGTCGCTTACATCGTCCACAGAGACCTGTAGATGTTCAAACGACTCAAATTGCTTCTCATTTGGATTCAAACGAAGAACAGAAACAATGTGTGATATGTTTGCTTTTCTCAGAGCGCTTTTATTGCTCAGCGCCATAACCCTAATGATATTTTGGTCAACAAATAGAGTATAAGGCTGGCCAAAGTAACAAGTTGCAAAATCGGAGCTAAATCTGCCCCATGAACAAAACTAAACCAAACCCACGATTATTGCATTGGCTGGGATACACTCGGCTGGAGACATCAGAAAAGAGGGGTATTCGAAATGCGGAGACTTACCCGCCAACGTAGAGATTTTCATCTCCAATCCTGCTCAGCGCCATCAAATCTTGTATTGAAATAGTGGTTGGAAATCCAATCCGTTGGCAAGGCCGGTAGAATCAATGATATAACCAAAAGCGCAGGAACATGAATTCCATAAAGCTTGGGTCTTTCGAGTTGTTGAAGTGGTTCAATTTTTCAGGTCGCCGCAGAGTTGATGCATGATCACCGCTGGCTGGCTGGATTTGCTATTATTATTAATTTTTTTTTTTTTAAAAAAAAAAAAAAAAAGGAAAACTAAATCCAGCCCGACAGCCTTGGGGCTTCATACATGGGGTGATAACTCTGGCGCTTGAGTCCCTTAGAACTGGTTTTGTCTGGGCGGGTTGACCACTAGGTCTCACTATACTCGAATAGGGAACTTAGGGCAAGGGCTAATTTTCTGTTTCTATGGAAACATGGAGAAACCTTTCCACAAATCTTGGACCGAGATACGTATGTGCCCGGCGTACGTTGTGCCATTTACCCGCTTCCACGAAGAAACTCTCCAGCGTTTGCCTATGACTACTATGTCGTCAGGACCTCGGAACTAAGGTTGGGGTGCATCCATGCCCCCACCAGAGGAGGGAAGGAAAAAACTAGCTAATCATATTGTGATGGGTGGCACATCGAAGCTCAATTCGCCATGCACGATGGCTCAGCGCTAGGGTTTGGTCTCAAAAGTCGAAGTCATCCTATACTGTGCTCAGCACTCCTCCTCATCAGTCTCCTTCAAATGACTGGTCAGGTAATTGCGTGGTCGAGTCTGGAGCCCGGGTGCCTAGGAGTTATGGTTTCTCAAAAGTATCACTTCTCATCTTGCAAGCCTCTTCCAATAATCCAACTGCTGATAAGAATTACGACCTTATACTAATGTCATTGTCTCTCAATTCGTGAACTTACCATCTGTAATCACGAAACCTTATATCCTGCCAGTCAACCATTTGTGTGATGAAATGAAAAATGACTAGTTCAAACTGTGGATATGAGAAGGGTCAACTTTAAAAGGAAAAACAAACTTTTGAAGTCATGTCCAGAGCACAGCTCATCTTTGCCATTCAAAGCTACCCTGAAGGTCTGAGCCATGGATTTCTGCGTCGTAGTTGGCGCAGCAGTTCCTCAGTTCTTGTGTTGCTGGGCGAGACGGGCATCTGAAGCCACTACCGCCTACAACCTCACGGGAATGTTTATGTTTACGGAGTACAATACAATACAATAGAGTATAATACAATACAATACAATACAATACATGCAAGCAGGTCCAGCTTTCAAGGCTGAGTCCGGACATACGGCCATGATCTTGTGGGACACGAGG